TCCGAACGGGGCGGACGGCGGGGAGAGGGGGGTGGTCTCGTACCACGCACCGAAATCCACGGTGTCCCCTGACACCGGGGTAGATTCTGTTAAAATGATATCCCTCGTCAGAGAGAGAGAGAGAGAGAGTCCCGCGGAACTCTCAAGATAGAGATCCACTCGCGATATCGGACTTTTGTGAAATCGATCGCTTTTTTAATGCTCCATAAAAAAAAGAGAGAGAGAAGGAGAAAGGAAATCGTAGAAATTCGTTTCTGAAGAATTGCGTTGATTCGGCGGCGCGGTCGCGATTTCAACTCGAAAAATCGAGCGGGGCGAATGATATATGTCGACACAGCTATATAGCCGGTTCAGCTAATTATATCGTGTCAGCTTTTCAACTATGTTACGAACGACTCCAAAGTTCACTAATTAACGTTATGTACAGCGTAATCGATAATTTACACTGAATAACATCGTAAGAAACACGTAATTAGCTTATGGTATATTCATAAAGATCGTCACAAGTGCCATTTTGCATACTAATTCGCGATCTTCTAAAAACACTCAATACGCAACCCAAGTGGGTGTCCCCCAGGGTTAAACTTGCGTCACGTATATATGAGCGCGACGATTGAAACGACGGGAATCGCAACGAGGACGGCGGCATCGGCGACGGCGACGGCGACGCAATTTCTCAGCATAATTCCGAATAATTCGAATAAAGCCGGACACTTGTCTCGCCGAGGCCCGGGACAAAAGCCCCGGCGCGCACCTTTCACCGCGTGTTTCTCGATCGGGGATCAATGGAGGCTACCAACGCCGGCTACGCACGACCATCTTGCGCGTAATTACAGTAGCTTCCGTCACGGTTTGAGCCCTGGTCATCGTCCCCGTGCATAATACTTTATAATATACGGCGGGATTCCAAAAGTGACTCGTCATGCGGCATAAATACTTTAACGGCGGCGGTGCACCGTCCCCCTCTCCCCTTCCCCCCATATCACCCTCCCTCCCTCCCTCCCCCTCTCTCGTCCGCCGCCGCTGCACCTGATACTTTCCCCCGGCGCGCTGATGAATTTCTTTTTTAATCACCGCCGCGTCTCGCGCCGAAAGTACAACGTCACCTGTTGGCCTTTGCCATCGCGCGGCTCTTTCGGCGCTGCGATTCGCCACGCGAATTCACGCGCTCGCGCGCGCGCGTGCACGAGCAACGCGTAAATGCATAACGAAGTGCGTACGAAATCGTTTTTAGTGCACGCGGAAGAAGAGCGAAACGGCGGAGACGTGAAGAGACGAGTTAAATTCGCGTCTTTATTCGGACAAGTGTTTAAACGAATATTTGCCTCGTAATGAGTCTAACAGTTACATTTTTTGAGAATAAAAAAAATGTATCAGAGAAACGTATCAAACATTTAAACATTATATCTTCTTTCAGTTTTATATCTGGTGCGTGTAAAGAGATATTTTCGTTGTTTTCGTCTATTAGAATTGTCTTAAACATTTTGCGCATTGTTCCGTAAACGAGATTATTAACGCTATAAGACAATGCGCAAAAAGTCTAGTTTACCGGTCGGAGATGGTAATTATAACGGCGCACGCTTCATTAATCTTTTTCCGAACATCGACGGGCGGAAAATTTAATGTTGGTCGCCGAGAGAAGAGATGAGAGACCGGCATAATTCGATCGTAAATTATTCTACAACTGGCTCCCCGATGGATCCGCGCTTAATCCCTTATTAGCGCCGACGGAAATATTTAAAAGATATTACGAAGATGTGTAAATTCATAAGTAATAGCTCTGTAGAACAAGAATTACGAGCATGCTGATTTAATGGATTGAAGGCACACAGGTGATCGGATTAAGCGACGCGATTGAATACAATATTTAATCGCTTCAGCTATTATAATTGAAGAGTGAGAATCAAATATCCCCCCAGCTAAATGTCAAGGATAATATTCCGAGTTGCTACGGAAAAATATCTCGAATTTATCTGCAGGAGTATCGTCCTTTTCATTTAGCGCCTCAAGCTGTTTGAAATTCAATATTTTAATTTACGCAGTTTTCTTCTTTTTACAACTCAGAATATGTACGCCATAACAATTTACGAATTATTTTAATTTCGCGTGAGAGTCCATTGACGTGAACAAGTCGTTGCATCGATACGGACAACGTTGCTGTCGCTTTATACATCAGGTATCGAAACGATTCGATTTCGCCGCCTATCGAAGCGCAATTAGCACGGACCGCGACGGCAGCACGGTATACGACGAAATTTAAACCGCAGTGCTTTTAATGCTCCTTTTATGCACGCCGAAAAATTGACACCCGAGTCCCCGAGTGCTTTAATGCCACGACATTAAGACGATCTCAATGGGGACGATCGCCGTGGTATACCACGTGGGACGGGACGGAAGGCCCCGGCGCATAATAAGTCGTGCCGCCGCCTCTCGTGCGGGTATCTCGTGAAAGGGCGAAGATAAAGGCCAGCGGTCCAGGAGCATAATTAAAACGCGTCGGATGTCTCGCGTATGGGGGCGAGCGACGAGGGGAAAGGCGACGGCGTGGGCGAAAGAATGAGGGACGGAAAAAAAAATGAGCAAAACTTGCAAAAGTGTGAAAATTTTACTCGTGTCACCGCGTCGACGGGAAGCAGTAAATGAACAAGTGAATTCAAGTTTTCGAAAAAAAAAAATAATAATAATAATTTTTTTTATTAGATTCTATTTTCTATTCCTGCACTGAACTGCACCATAACTTTCTTTCCCGCTTTTGCCAAATATCTATATATATATATATATATATATGAGCAGAACAGATATATCAGATAACAAACGAGAGATAAGCGAACAGAGAATTGAAAGCACAAGTAATAAAACGGAACTCGATTGCCCGCTTGTGATAGCGGATCTTGAATCACGTGTTAATAGCCGCTCTTGTCTTTTGTACCATGACCGTGCTCGCGCAAAATCAAAATCGAACGGCGCGTGTATTCACGGCCGGTTATTTCATTATTCACGAGTATAATTCAGCCACGATCAAGTCCCGATTGCGTTGGCAAGAACATGACGCTATTTCATCTGATTAACACATCGCGTACTTTTTAGCTCTTCAGTCGCGGTACCCGCTACGTACGATCGGAGATTATTTCAACACCACCGTCGGAAGGATTCGCCTCTGCGCCGACGTGTCATATTAATCTATCTGAGTACGCCATTAGGCGCGATGAAAAGGGAGCTTACATATGAATATTCACGTAAAATGCAAGACGTATTTTCGTGGTGTTAATTAAATAACCTTAGGCGAAAGCGTATTTCGAGCGTGATAAGGCTCGTAAAAAAAAACGTCATTAATTTCTTTTTTTTTCAACCCCTGCCTAGATCTCTTCTCTTGCAGAACGGTAATTGCAGAATTTATTTTAAAAGTTACACACAAGCACCGGTTTTAATCAAAATATTATACTAAAACACTTAACTTTTCGTACAATAACAGGAATACCGCGATAATCTCATTATCTCTCTCGGTGGAATTAAAAATTGTAGATATTGCGAATGAGATCGATCTGCATCGCGAACGCGTTTCTTCTCGGGGACGAATGATTCGTCTCGAGGTTACCGCTCGTCGCATTTTTTCCCTGATCGCGAGAGAGAGAGAGAGAGAGAGAGAGAGAGAGAGAGAGAGAGAGAGAGGACGAACAATCCGACGTTTCCGCCTCTCGAGGAGGCGTTACCGTGGTAACAGTACGGGTCCGACTCGAGACTCGATTAGCAAAGAAAATACGAGAGGATCTCGGAAGCCCCCGCGCGCTACAGGATCGATCTGCGGCCGAGAGGCTTTTAAGACGACCGCGACGCCTCATTGTCTTTAGCAGAATGGCGAACGACTCTCGCGCTCGCTCTTCATCCTTGTATTTCCAAGCGGGGATGGTTTTCCTCCTCCCCCACCTCCGCCCCCCCCCCAGCTTGCAATCGCGAGTCAATAGGCGATAAACACGATCGTCCGCTTCCAAAATAACGGGCTTTCTCGACGACGTTTATCGGGTCCGACCTCCGTTTTCCGCCACTTCCGGCGCGTTTGCGTTTCCATCGCGGAATTCCGCGATCGATCGGATGATCCGCGGTTCGCCCGATTCCCAAGACCATATACATATAATAATCGCGCGTGATCTCGCTCGAGACTCTTAACGAATTAATTCCAATCCGATCGCGGGATATCGCGACAATCTTTAATTGCCGCTCGGAAGAGCGCTCACGTTTTTTTCTTTTTTTTTTTTAAGGCGTAAGATCGGCTTAATACCTTTACCTTTACCAACGATATACACCGAACACACCTCGGCTACCCTAACGCACGGTCATTCGTCATTTCGCGCGCGTGTGAAGTTTACCGTGTTTTCCCATATCTATACGTGATCTGCCGAGTAATGAGGTGGATCCCCTCCTTTATGCGAGAGCCCCCGTCGTCGGGAGATCGTCGTTACTCTCCCGTGAATCCTCGGCCGCCTCCACCTGGGAAGGATGAGCGCGCTCATTAATTACGACCGCGCTCTCCGCCGCGGCGATGACTGGAAACAAAGTGTTTTCAGTACCGCGCGTATCCACCACGTTCACAACCTGTGTGTGCCACCTAAAGCGGGAACGAATTAAAATTCCCATCGCGACCACACGCGCCTTCTCCCTCGCTGAAAAGCTAACCGATTTAGACTTTATACAACCAACGATCCTTTTCTCTTTCCATTCCTTCTTTTTTTTTATCCAACTACCTTCTTACGCGATACCAGATGGCGACAATTAAATACGGCAGTTGCAGCATAAATAGTATATATCGCGACTTTTGGAATTTTTAGCAGTATCCATTATTAATTGTAATTTCTCGCTGCGCTTCCTTTTCCTTCGTATATCTCTTCCTCGTCTATTGTCTTGTTTAATTTATATAATATAAATTAAATAATATGTACATACATATAGTGTGCAACGCACTGTTAAATATCGGTTGATAACCGCGAATTACGCGTTATTTGCAGCAGAATGCAGCAACAGTCGGGCCAAGGAAACGGAAACGCGCGGCGTACTCTGAGCCCGGGGCCTGGCGGCAGCAGCAGCGAGGAGTCCGACATTTCCCTCGGAGGAACGTCACCGCCATCGCCAAGTTCCTCACCGCCACCGAACCACCAGCCGTCCCCGGTGCCCCTTGGACCTCTCGGCCCTTTGCCACCACCCTCTTTGAATTTCCGCTTCGATCCTACGCAGACGCACTTTCGATTCGGTCACACGACGGCTTTCAAGTTTCCACCGACGAGCTTCCGATTCGGACCGCACAGTCCGCAACCTAATCATCCGAACATGCCGGGTGGTGGAATTTTCAGGTTCGCGGAGTCGAGCCCTTTCCAGGCTGTAGGACCCAGGGGTGATCCGGCGACGAGGTAAGTTTCTTAAGCAGACGATTTCTTTTCATAACAGTTTCTTTTCGAGATATTTCGTTGTTTACTCTACGCAATTTTCATCAATCTATCCCGAATAATAAGAATTTTTTTGTAAATCGATCGTAAATTACACGTGCGAATTGATATTATTAACATATATATTACTGCAATCACAAGATGTCGCATAATAGACCGCGATTCCGCTGGCTGTATTTTCTCCAGAGAAAATGCAGTTCTTTCTTTACTCTATTACAGGCTGCCGGATTCGCTGGGTCTGCCACCGCCGAGACTCCATCCGCACGAAGGCCTGCTACACCATCCCCACCCCCAGCACCAGCTGTCCGAGGGAATATCTAGGATATCCGAGACGTCGCGATTATCCGATGGCGGGTTATCCCGTCTCTCGGACAGCTTATCGGAGGCCCACAGCCCGCCGCTGATGGCGGCAAACCTGTCGGTCACCGGCCCGCTGAGGGTGGCCGTGCCTAGCCCACACACCCCCTCGTCCCGAGGCAGCCCGCCCCCCCGTCAACCAACACCCCAGAGTCAGTCCCAAGGTCAGGGGCTGATAAGGGTCGCAACGCCACCGCCGGCAAATCCGAGACCGCAGATCCACAGGCCCTTCTCGCCCGCGTGATACGACAAGGACGACGAATTGCGTAACGCCGTCGGCACAGATAACAGTTTAATGTCGAAAAAGGGCTACAGGTGCGGTGACGTCGCGAACGAGCGCTTCAAGGTGTTATGAAGGCGGGGGGTTTTCAGAAGAATCTTCATGGATCGGGAAAAGAATTGATTGTGTCTAGGAAATTACGAGTGTGCAGCGTCGCAGATCCGATGCGACATTCTAAACGGAAAGTTTCACAATTTCGCCAGGGCCGAGATGAGCATCAATGAAGCTACAGTACCACCGACGGAGATTATTCAAAGATAGATGCAAGATGTGATCACGAGTATTTAGCAAGACGGCTTTCTTCCACGACGACAGTTAGCATTACCGAAAAAAAAAACAGATCCAAGGAGCTAAACGATGTACACAAAGATGAATCAACGGTACCAGTACAGTAGGTACATTGCCGAGAGATTCTACTCGGAGATATGAGAAGTTATATATGAATCTTAGGAAGAATTCATTTGGTGATGTGTGATAGGACGCTCTTATAAGATGCGGGAATAGACGCTTCGAAAAGTGAGTGCGAATCCGCTAAATAAGTGCAATCTTTCGGATTTTGAAAAGAAAAAAATAAACGAACGGTCAGGGCGTGTACATAACTTCCGTTGGACGTTCCCGACTCGTCCGTTCATCGAAATCCAAGAAACCAGATGCAGTGAGTCTTATAGTTTGTAAATAGTGCCGCTTTCTAGTTGATACTCTATCATGAATAGTCTCCGAGAGGATGGTTAATCAAGCAGCGAATTGTACAGGATTTTCATGAGAAAAGTAAACGCTTTCGAAAATATATTTCAATTATGTTTTCATTATATTAAACGTTTCGATTATGCAAAAGTATCTGACAAAAAAAATATTTGTTTCGAAGAGATGAATCATATGATTAAAAACTTCAGTATTTCGTTCTCGTGATTTCGAAATCGTTAAAGAAAATTTTTTTTTTAACTCTTTGATTTCTTTTTTATTTATCATAAAAGTATTAATTTCTTGTATGAAAATCCTGCATTTTGACGACGTCTCGAAGTAGCAGCCTGCAAGGCGACAAAATGAGAATGCGAGAGAACTCGAAGTTGGACTCGCTACGGCAGTGGTTTCATTGTCAGATTCGATGGCGCAAAAAGGCATACGAATTCCCAATACCTAGCCGCAGATGGAGATCATTGCGTTACAATATTTGAGAAATCCAAAAATGTCGTAGTCGCAACGAAATATTCTCTAGTACCCACGAGCAGTTCTTTTTCTTCGTTTTTATCTTCCTTTTTTTGTTTAAAGTTAACGAAAACGCACGACAATTGTGCTAGATTATATTACTGAGGTCACCAATAAGAGCTCTAATCTATTTCTTATACTTTTTTCTTAAAATATATCCCGTGTTAATAAACTTACACCGCTGTCACATATTTTCATAAAAACTCTAGATTTTTTCAAAGCAAAAATGTCAAAGATAATATAACATGCTCCTTTCTTCTACTAAAATATAATTTTCAATTTTTTATTTATGAACTTGGTTTATAAAAGCAATACATTCCGTCATCACTTTTTCTTGCATTTCATTCCAAAATTATTTGGGTCCTCTCATAAATCTCAAATTCTTGTGACTCATTCTTTTTTTTTTTATTCATTCTTTATAAGAGACCACTATATATGAGTCTATAGTCTGTTCACGATTTTTATTTTGTAAATTTATAATATTATTTTGGGACTTCAGTTACATTCGTAGCATAATTGTTTATATGTCGATTATCCATGTTATTAGTACGACTGTACATGTGTACTATACCAGTGTAATCCCTCATATGTGGAGAGTGAGAAAAGCTTCATACTCTAGAGAAAAACTATAAGAACAGCTCGGGTCTGAACGAGAGAGAGAGAAAGAGAGAGAGAGAGAGAGAAACATGACTTGTTCTATAAAAAGAAAAAGAGTGCGATACCCGAATGAGCCAATTTACGCTCCTTCCCCGCCAATTCCCTTCCCGTTAGGTTAAGTAGAAACTAGCGACACATTGTATATTTCATTAATCGCCTGGCTCTTTGGGGAAGGCCTGCGTCACTCTGGGAATAAAAAGAGCGTAGAAGAGAATTTCGAGGCCGGGTATGGCCAAAATCGATCTTATTAAGCGCGAGACGATAGGAGAAACCTCACGCTTTCGCCCTCCTCTTGTAGATAGACTTGATTAGCGAAATTCTTGTATAATCCGTCTTATAAATATGAACATATTACAGCAGTACGTACGCTATACATACAATATACATATATATATACATAATTATGGTAAAGACTTACGTAATTTACCTAAAGACTATCGATACGGAAATTATACATATATAAATATATGAAGAAGAAATGAAGCATTATTATTATTAATATTATTAATATTATTATTATTATTATTATTATTTGCGCCTGTACATACGTTCGCGCGAAAATATATTAACAGATTATTATGACATTACAACGGACCATCATGAGTATTTTGTCCGCATCCTCGCATCCATTATACATCCTATTCGGTCCTGACTGTTAAACGGAGTGGCAAATTTCGCGCATAATCCACGAAACGTGTTAAACGCATCGACGCATTAAAATGGCTTAATATTTATTCGTCGCGCGGATTCGACAACGCACGGACACACGATCCCGCGATAACGAAATCGCTATCGCAAGTGGATATAGTGCACCCGGCTATACGTTTTTCTCGCACCGTTGCACAATATATAACGTTGAAAAATGCATGCGTCCCGAAATGGGTAATTATTATTTTATTTGTATGAAACTTCTCATTAGCAATTTCTCATTACGCTCGCGTGTCGCTCCACGATTAAAACGATACCGGCGCGAGAGGGAGCACGTTATTGCTGAAATCGCCCCGTCCTTCCCACAGGTTCGCACAACGCTTCGGCTTCCACGCCAGGCCGTCGAAAAGTTGCGGAGTCATCGGCCGTTAACAATCTTAGAGTCGTGTCCAGACGATCTTTTATTTTATTTTATTTTATTTTTCTCTTTTCGTCGAAGGTCAAAAGCGAGTCGGTAGGCTCGAGTCCGGGCACGAAACGCGTGTTAGAGCGCGATGAGGGAGGAACGGATTATCGACGGTGAGAGACAGAGAGACAGCTAATGGACAGATAAAAGCAGCGAGAGACACAACACAGGTAGAGACGGGGAGAAGCGAGGAGGAGAGGCGAGGATGGTGCGAGAGACGAGAGCTATACGGAAAAGAAAGGAGAGAGGCAGACAGACGGAGTAGTTGCGCGATAACGCGGTGTGGGCGGGTGTCGTTGACAAAATGAACCAATCGGCTGGCCGGGTCGCCTTGTAACCGATCCCGCGGGTTAACCAGGAACCAGAGGGAACATCGACCAAGACTCTCCCGAAAAGCCGATATGCTCAGGGCGCACGCCTAAGTTCTCTCTCAACGTCGACTCCACCCTGCCTGTGATGCCTCCACATGCGACCACTTCCTCTCTCTCTCTCTCTTTTCCCCTCCTGCCACCGTCTCTCGTATCTTCCTCCTCTTCTATCGCACGTCCGCCCCGTCTCTCCCCTTCGCCGGTGCTCGGCAGCTGGGTAGATTTCCAGACACGAAGATGGAGTCGTCGGGGAATGAAGCAATACGCGGACTTTTACGTAGCGCTCTCAGGCTTGTCGCGGCGGCTTTCAGCCGGTGACTTTTAAAAGAAATCAGGGAAACCTGCGTCGTGTTGTTTCTATGATACGCTAACTCCTTTTTCACTCCTCCAAAGATAGCATAAAAAAATTGTTAAGTGACTACTCAAATCAGTCAAGATTTTATATTTTGGCAAATGAATTGCGTGCGAATTAGAGAACAAAATTTAACTCAGTCTTTCAAAATACAGATTTACACGCAAGTCTTTTTTATATATAAAAAATATGAGTAATTAACGGAATTTTTGCTAGCATGTTTAGGTAACGTTGACTGCTTGAAAACATAAAAGTTTGAAATTAATTAAAGAATTCAACGCAACGTAAAGTTGATCAGTAATCAAACTTATTTTTCGTGTGTGTCTAGAGAAGGAAAAAGACAGGAAAAAAAAGCATTGAATGAAGTCGTAGGGTTTTGACCTATTCATGGAAAAACGTTGGTTTACTTGACCAGACGATCACATCGACAATAACTCGACAAGAGGGCGGGGGGAGGGAGACTGAAAAACGCTACCCCGGAACAACTGTCTGTTTTGTCCGCAACGTACACGCGCCTGCGGGAATTTTGTACGACGGAATAAAGGGATGGGTGTCGCGATTATCGATAGGCTTCGGTGGCATGCACTGTTTTGAAGGTATATCCAATATGGCGTGAAAAGGTCCGCTCTGTCTCCCTCTACCCTCTACTCCGCTATCGTTTATCTCCGTCGTGCACTCGATGGCACGGTCGCCGTCTTGCCGGTCGTGTTTTGACAGTTGCTGCTCTGACACCTCTGGCGCATTCATTAGGAAGTGGTTCTCATGGTCAACGTTAAGGTAGCATCAAAACTCTCGAAATGAGAACACGGGTTGATGCAAACAGTCGCGAAATACTTTTGATTGCTCTCTATTCTTTCTTTCTTTTAATGTTTTATAATAAATAATAGTATAATATATCGCGCTTAGGGGAATAAAATTTATTTGTAATTAATTCTTCATAGATTTGCAGAAAGTGCACAACTAAAATTATGTACAAAAATTAATATTAATTTCCAGCACATTCATTATTGATACCGTTAAATTATAAAAATCGTAAACATTATATTCGAGTTATCTTATGTTAAACACTCATGTATAAATGATAAATACTCGTAAGCGAAAAAGAATATAACCTAATAATTTAGAAATTTAGAAATATTGACACGTGACGCCTCCTGAGGGTTAAGTTGAGAGTCGCTGAATGGGCTCCAGCTGTCCGGATTTAGATGTTTAGGATAATGCGGCGTGGTCGAGGCCTTACAACGAAATAATGTAGTCCACTCTGAATGGTAGAGACGCGGAATGAGAACGGTGACGAGGGGTAAGAGGGTGACGAACGGAGAACGAACGAACGAGCGAGCGAGAGGCAACAGCATATTCCTGCGGCGAGGGGAGCGGAACGGAGGGAAGAGCCAAGGGAGCGAAAGAGAGTAGCGACTGAGTAACCATTTCTCTAGTGGTTATTTGTAGACAGATTCGACACCCCGACAATACCGCGGATATCATAATGGGGCCCGGCGCAGGGGTCCTATACCGTAGCGGGAGGGCCCCGTGCAAGATTACGCCCATCAGGTATTTGTTATAAGGTCTTAGGTCGACCCGCGGAGAGGTGTGAAAGTGACGGTAAATCTTCGTTCGATCTTTTTAAAATCGGCGTACGCCATTGTTGCGGTACAGAAGTTTCCAAAGCTTCTCTCACCGCGCCCCTGCTCTCGATCTCTTCTTCCGGCCACGGCGATCGCGGCGGATCACGGGCTCTTAGCTGCTTAAGGATCCAGAGGTGGACCCTTGGAAAAGCATGAAACGGGCACGAGAGAAAAAAAAAGATAGGCATGTGTGTGAATCATCACGTCGCGGAATAATGGCGCAACGATGACGCGGAATGGCGCACGCTCGCGCGCGCCGATGAATCGCGCTCTGATTTGTGTACTCTCGCCTCGGCCAGTGCGCCGAAAAATCAACAAATATTTGTAACATCGATCGTCATCCGGTAAGGGTTTTATTTGATTAAGGGGATCTGTTTTCAGCATTTTTTACGAGCGGTTCGGCTCAATAGTAGTTAGCGACAAGCTAGTATTTTCATCTATGATATCGTGTGATTTCGTAATCGATCGATCTTCTCGTCGTGAAAAAAAATTTCAATATGAATATTTTTGCAATTGTTACATTTTACTAATTAATTATTACATTTGCAGTTCAAATAGAATATTTCGAAACAATTATTGAATACTTTAAACAGCGTATCCTAAAATTATTTTTAATTTATTATGTGTTATTAAAATTTTTTAATTTATAAAAATCAGGACAAATGACAGATCGATATTTGATTACTCGAAAGTTGTTGCAATCACGCAATATTTTTTTATTAGAATTTTCGATCCTAATTAATTTTCCGTGCTATTAAAATCTGGATTATAAAAATATTGTACGAGTATAAGATATATTCTATGTATTATAAATTTGGCTAATTGTTATAGAAGACATAAATTTAAAATTGACGAAAAAATACAAGCACGTTTCCAACGTTCGCACATACGAGTCCGTTTAAAATGTCATTCGCATCTCGCCGTAACCCATAATGAAATACCCCTCTGCAGACTTTTAGTTTGAAAATCGACGTCTCAGTTTTCACGTGGGGTCCTGATCCAGGTTCACACGGGGGTTAATGAGAGGTTAGATATAAGTTGCTATTCTGTGCCATAATGCGACACCAGCGTCCGTTTAATTTAAGTATATCCCGTGCATGGGACTTCAATGGGGGTGTGTCACGCGCCACCCTTGCCTACCTCCATAACGGGGCGGCAGTAACTTCATGGGAAAAACAAAATATTAGAGAAACTGAGAGCCGTAGCATTTGTAAAGCAATGCGATTACTTATGTACTGATTTAATAACAATAATGTCAAGAATCGCATAATTCAACTATAATTAAACGTGTCGTCAATTATGGTAAGTAAATGTACATTTAAACGCAATCAATTCTATTCACATGAAACAACAAATAAGATAAGATTTTGTAAATTTTTCTTTCTGCAGTCTTTTTCTTTCATTCTACGACTGATTTTTAGATAAATGAATATATTTCACGGAATTACGTAGCCTCTTCGTATAAAAATATAGATAGGAATATCTGAGAATTAGAACAATTATTTCCCGAGGTTTTATCATCGCGAAACATTTTGGACGGGATTTGCAGAGGTTCTCGAAGACTCGGGGACAAAGGCAAGTCTCCACGGACGAAGCCTTCCCTGAATCGCGAGAATTCGAGGCAGGGTATACATGGATATGTCAGGCGTCAGTGCCCTTACGAGGTACTAAGCCGCTTAGCACTATGGGGTTTATGTTGTGCCCGGCGGGGTATCTACCAACTCCATAGAACTTATATAGGGGCCCACACCTCGCTTACCGCGCATTATCTTATCCCCCCATCCATACCCATGCTTCCATCATGACGTTCGCCAGGATCCGGCGAAATGTCACGAGTCTGCGACGATCCTGACACCCACGGGTTGCGACGAAATTGCATTTCGCGCGATGCAATTTGGTTAATCGTCCTACGATTTGGTCAACGATCAAAATGGGGGACAACGGTCAATTATTCGCAAAGCAAATTAAATGATCGTCAGAATGTGTGCCACGGAGAGATAAATATATGAAAACATACCGAATTGTGCTTGAAATTATACAGATTTTAGCGTAAAAATGTGTATAACATCGAATCGTGTCTAAAGCTTTTAAGGTATATAAATACGTTTGTAAATTATTACGACAATCTTTTCCAATTATATTTTTTTCGATTAATATAGGATATAATAAGTAACATTATTTTTAATTCAATAATATATTATTTATAAATAATATATAAATTATAATATAATTTTATAAAGCTAAGAAAATCAAGATTTTGATAATCGCGAGATATATCACACTACAGATTCAGTTTATCGACGTGATACAACTTATTTCTTAAGCAGACTTTCGCCAATGCAAATGAATAAAAATCGTTTAAGCTTATTGTCATTGTTATTGCAATTTGTACACAAAACAGCTCCTCTCGCGTCGCGCCCCATCTAGAAGGCCGCTCTTAACGACGCGGATAGAAAACACCGCGAGGAACTTCCTGACGAGGGTATTACGCAAAACTGTATCGGCTTTTCCGTGTTTTGATTTCGCCCGGGGGCCGCAGGAGGACGACGGGGAAAGAGGAGGGTTACGCCCGATGGAACGGGAACGCCGGGAACGAGAAGGACAGATACTTAGCCAAGGACTAACAGCAGGCCGCGGATTAAAGGGGGCGAAATGTTATTATTGCAAGGGGTACGTCTGCGCCCTCCCTCCCCCCTTCCTCCGTGAGTACTAAGTAGCCCGGTTAAGTATGTTGTTTAAGCCAACACTGTAAGTAACCATCCCCGGGAGAAATTGCCGTGACGGCATTGCGACAAAGTCCAAACTCCGCCACGCCGATGGAAAATACTTTGCGCGGAGTGCCACCTCGGCCAGATGGCTCTCGTAATGCCAGGCGTTTTCAGCGAGGCCGCGATGGAAAATCGAAGCACCCCGCAACATCATGATACGAGCGACGGCAAGAAGTCGCCCGAAGTGTCGCGAAACTTCGGAAGAAGCTCGTGTCGTGAAAACGAGTTACAACGAGCCCCTTGTATATCATCAAACAATGGCCTCAGATATTAATAATGGACATTCAGGTATTAATAATGGACAAAAATAGAAAATCGATAGAAATCAAAATTGTAAAATAATAAATTTTAAATAAAAATAAAATAAAAAAATTCGTTGTTATATATTATCCAAATGTGAGCTAAAATGAATTTTGTAATATAGTTGCATTAACTCAGTTTTGTGTTTTAAAATCTGCACTGCAAAGTAGAACGTTCCATTATCCTCAAAAAAAAAAAAAAAAAATTGCTAATTCTTGCAGGAACTGCTGCATTTCATTATGTTAAACATATGAGAGTAAGAGTAATCTTGACGTCAAGTCAAAGCGATTTTTTTTCAGATATCACGCCCGAGGGATTATACTTATTTTTGATTCAACGAATTTCAATCTGCGCGAGAGGTGGCCGCGCGCGCGTAGCCTGAATTCAGCGAATAATTTCGCCGGGTGATTGCAGTTTCTGAAACGAGTAGCCTTTGTGCGACGAGGGAATGACAAATGCACTTCCTTGAGCCGAGATTAAAATACGATATTGCCGCTATTAGGCCCCGGGTTTGAGCCTTTGCTCGCAATAGAACGGTAACAGACGTATAATTTCCTGGAAGCTTTGAATTGAACGGCTCTCTCGCTCCGCCGGGGCGAGTGAGACGAGTGTAACCGGCTTTCAAAGCTTTGAGGGTGAGGAAGCTCATTAACGAGAGCTTTCTGTTCCTTCGTTTCGACCTCCGTTACACCGACGTACACCTTCCATCCACTACCCGATATCCTTTACGGAGAGTCCTGAGACCCGAGCCACCCTCCCACCCCCCTGCACCATCCGCGCTTCTACCAACGGCAAACCGAATTCCTTACTTATGTAAATGCGGATTCGTTGATGGTTGTAAATTTGGCAAATCCACGTCGCGCGGGACACCATCGATATATCTCGTGATAAAAACTACTACGGCACTACATGTGTTTATATATATTATGCCGAAAAGTGATTCGCAGATTCGGTGTTGCAGATAGTGTGAATGGATAATTTTTCCACGATGTCGCGAACATTTATTTCATTCCGAATCCTGTTACGTAAAATCTTCACGCGAGATGAAAATCGGACGAAAGACGTGCACGTAATAAAATGTTTCTCTCGACACACGCAAAAGTATATTCTATTATCCTACCTCGATCAATCGACGATTATTATATTATATTACAGGATATTAATTCTAATAAAAGCTATTTATTAAACCGCCAATATTAGAGGACGGGCTGCTACGATTGCGGCTGCTTTTAATGATACTTTCTCAAATGATTTGTAATACTAGTATACGGGCGCGTCAGAGGTAATTATTCCTCCTCGTTACGATCAAATGAATTCAATTAATCGTCAGCGAGCCGCTCTGGTGTTTGTATATTACTGCTGCGGGGCTCGTTCTCATCGAATTCCCATGAATAACCAGCTTGTATAGCCTATACGATAATCAACACCGCTAATTTCGCGCTGCAGTTATCCAACTTCGGCGGAATTTTGAAACATTTTACATAAATCCAACAACAGGAAAATCATTATCCCGATCCCTTTTACCTAAGTAATAAATTTAAAAAAAAATAGCAAGTATACTTTGCACTTGACTTTGTCTCGGTTATCATGTATCATCAGTAATGTAAGCATAGCAAGTATAGTGTAGACAATAAAATTTATCTTTTGCTATAAATCGAAGACTTTTTTCATTATTTCGCCGTGAAAATAATTTGAGAAGTGCGTTAATTCAATGACACCAGCGGCAAATAATATAAAAGCCGTCGCTCTCCGCTTTCAACTCCGCAGCGCCCACGGAGCGACGGCATCGTCTCACGACTCTCTTCTCCTTCCCCCGCGAAGTGAAGGTGGAAGAAACTAAGTATTCCATCTTGACTTAAATACAGCCCGCGAGATGTGGCTAATGCAACCGCGAAATAAAGGGCGTGGTTTTAATGCGCAGCCGGGGATTGGCTGTTGAACTTGGCTACCCGGTCGATACTGGCCGACTATATCTGCCCGACCTGTATACTTGATACTTATCCGGCACAGGAGTATATACACCTCGACTTCCATCTCGCTCTCGTACACCGTCGGCGTGGAGGAGGGATGTTTGTACGCTCGCGGGATCGAATGCGCCAAGATTCTTCAAGGAGAATCATCGAGGTTCGGAAGAAAAACCGTGCGCGCGTAAATCTCTCCCCGTGGCATTAAAATGTGCCGTTACAATAAATTTCACGGATAATTAATAAAACAGATTTGTCAGGCAACAAGATGCAAAAAGTCATTTCCGTATAGTCAGTCGCAATAATTCGGAAACTACGATTCCTGCTCGTTGCTGCAGATATTTCACAATTACTTACATGTTTTCAATCATTCTACAGCTCAGTTCGTGTCAAATCATCGCGTCAAATATTCATAAATTTCAACGGTGTCTTATGCTGACACACTAATTGCGTTTTTGGTTATTCATATAGATATCTTTGGTCAAAGCGTTAAACTTCTGCCGTCAGTATATTAATTACTCATTATATCAAGCAAATAAAGTCATTTTAGCGAAATACATACTTGCCGCGTTCGTGTTCCTCGGAAGGCTCAGTGAACTCCGCGACAATCCATCTTGGCTCCCTTATTCTCGTCCTTAACGCGACATTAGCACACGATTAAAATCTTCCTAATGACACCTCGACGTCCATCCATCGTAGACTTATCGCGCCGATTTACCTGCAATTTGCACCAGAGAAAGCACAGATTACTTTCTAATTTGCGGCGGAAAGCGCGCATATACGTTCAAATTTCCTCCGATTTATGCGCACGCTTAAACAACTTTTTATCAGCTATTATTGAAACTATACCGTAGGACAACGGCGGTGTCCTGGATAGCAACGATTACAGCCGTAAAATAATTTTAAGCGAAGTACAGTGCAGTATGCCAAGAAGCCTGATATGTTATTAAACCAAGCTCGTATGATGCCATGAATTGCAAGCCAGTCTCCGTGCATGATTAACGAGAGTATTTTACAGTAGCGCATGAATTATTTACACAACTAACTCCATTAATCCAAACGATTCTGCGCGCCAGTAAATTAAGGCAACCTCTCGCAACCAATGGATTTCGAAACTCGCAAATCGGCCGAGTCAACTGTAACTCGTCAGCGAACCATTTGCGAGTGGCCACATCGACAAATTGTTCGACCCCGCGAAGGGGTCGGCTACCGGAAAACTTATATCGTCGCGACAAAGGCTACTAGGTTAGAGTATAATAACGCGATACCCACAATAAACGCGACCGGTGTCCTCTCATTGAGGGCAACAATGCCCCATGGTAGATGAGTTAATCGGTAAGTTCCTCCCCCAACGCGCGCACTACCCGAGTAGTCGGCCGGCGCGGCGGCGCGGCGCTGCCGCGACCCATTGTACGCCGTCATTCGTCGACGACGATGACGGCGGCGTGCCGGGGAGTTTACACGACGAGACCTGAAACAGGATATAGGAAAGGCGCGGTATCGGGGAACAAAAGGATGACTGACATCTCCGGTGATCCTGATCGGGAGGTCGCAGTGGCTCTCTGAATGGACCGCCCGTGTATATCCCGATCTATTCCCGATCTGTCGAAATGTCTGCGACAGACGAGCCGACGACGGAGTGACTTGAAAGCGAGCTCGCGAGATTATTGAATCGTGCATCTGTCGGGTCGTGTTAGGTAACATTGATAAAAAAATTTTATATTGAAACTTTAGTGCAATTAAAATCGCATCATAAATTTAAAAATATAGATATTTTATATATATATATATATATATCTTATTTAAAATCAATGATGATGCTACACTGAAAAAAGTCTGATAATAATAATCAAGCCTTATAGATAACAGTTATGGAGCTTTGATGAAATAGTTTCAAACAAATATTCGGTTAATATAAATGCCTTGTAAATATTAATAATATTGAAATAATTATTACCAAACGGCTGGTTACTCTTGTTATTTAATAACATTTACTAAATGTTGCATCAATATGCTATAAAAATTACATTGGATATAAGCTATTTATTTAATAACATTTACTAAATGTTGCACCAATATGCTATAAAAATTACATTGAGTAGCTATTATCAAATTTCTTTTCTCAGTGTACCAATTAATTACGATTTGTTAATATGCTGCGAAAGAATAAAATACTGTTTTTAATCCTTGCTTCTTTAATCCTCTTATCGGCATCACAATTCTCCTATCATGCTAACACTGATTATCGATACGTCTAAGCGGCTGTTCGTAAAAAGAACAGCATACGTAATACGTATACGGGGTGTAGCAACTACAATCTGGGAGAGAAATCGCTACGAGAGAAGTACCTACAATATCAGAAAGCTCCGGTAATCCTCATCAACGACGGACAGGGATTCTCATCGGGGACAAAGTGTCGGCCGTATCGTATAATAAAAAAAAAACCGCCTCGCGTCGAAGGAACGAGCGGATGAGAACTACTGATCGACGAAGAGTAATTCATCAGAGAGGATGCTGAGGCTGACGGCCGGCTACGTCCGCCTCTTCTCTCTTCTTCGAAGGCTCTCTCTATCCGCTTTCCGTCCCTCGTTCCGTCTCTGTCCGGCGCGTTGCGTGCGCTCTTCTTGAATTCCGATTCTACGACGGGCAACGGAGTCAAACCGCAGCCTCCGCTTGTTAATTCGTCGCTTCTTCGGCTTTTGTCCTGGCGCGCTAAAAGCATCCGCCGCGACTACGCATCCGTTAAACGTGCAACGCGATGAAAGGGACTTACGTCATGCATCATTACTAATCGCGTATCAATTACCGTACGATGAATCAATCGCATCGTCGCCGGAGTGCGCCCAATTGGTTAAATATGTTCCGAGGATATTGTTAGATCGATTCTCGGTCGGCCTTGTCTGTCATTGCTATTTATAACCGTTGGTTAAATCCGATTGAAAATATCTTAAACTATATTTGAACTTCAGCAACAATGTTGCGATTTATAATTCTTATAATTAACGTTTTTAACAATTAATAACGTTTCTAAATATAGATGCGGAATATATATGGGACATAAAATAAACCATAAAATAAAATAAAGTGTATTATACTTTTTCCGTCACGCTATATTAAAGTGAAAAGATTTATCCTTGAAGTTAAGGCAAAATATTTCTACCTTTCAATTACACGTTACTCAATAATCGTATATGCACTCTATATGTAACATCCTTTACGCGGCCGTATAGCGGCGCAAGACAGGTAGGCATAACGTAGAAGTATTATTAGCGTGGCCGAGGTGTCCATATATAAATTTAATAATACCGACAATAAGCGCACGTACACTCATCAATGCGTCTTCGCGTGGAGCCTCAATAGAGCGTAGAAGGTGGATAGAACTGTGAGGGGTGGGGGGGAGAGGGGGATACGAAGCTATATTAAGGAATGATTGATAAACAGGCTGACCCACATTCGCATATGAACGCGTGAGGAGCGTTATAGGCGAGTCCTTGACGCATGCACTTCGTGCGGATAATTACGCGCCGCGGAAGGCACGTGCCTTCTGATCCGTGGATTTGAAGCTACACGAGGAAGGGGGAAGGGCCCCTCTCTCTATCTCCCTTTCTCCGTTTCTCTCAGGAAGCCCCTCGTGTTTTTTCGGAGTGTTAAATTGCCCGATCGCGTGAACGAGAGCGCGTCTACATACGTACGTGATGAGATTAAAATAGGCTCTTACGCGGTCATTTCCTTAGACACCGTGCGTCTCGTATCCGTCTGCGATCAAAAGTTGTGTCTCTCTCCTCCCCGTGTGATCGTATACGTTCACACTTGCCGCGTATCAACTCTATCGTCTGATCAACGGGATCCTATACCATTTTTTAGAGAACGTAACTATATATATAATATATTATATGGCTTTCGCTCGGTATCATCTTTGCGCGCGATTTCTCTTGAAAATCGCAAACTTTCCGCAAATATATATATGTACGCATCCGACGAAGATTTCGCCGTCTTTCTCTATTCACGGGTCATTAGGCCCGCGCGCGTTATCCTCCCGGCGCGGCGCGGCGCGGCGCGGCGAGCCTTCGGTTTCCCGCATAAAATCAAACGTAGCGCTCGCGCGACGGCCGGCCGGCCGACGACCGTAGGAATTCATCTCCGAATTAAGTAGCTAATCAATTACGCTCGTCCCGAACGATCGGACACGGTCGACCGCGGGCAGCGGTACGAAACGGCGGAATGGAGATCGTTGCGGCGGCTGTGCGCCGCCGTCGCCGCCGCCGTCGCCGCCGCGCAAATTGCTTCATCTCGCACGAAGAAGTCGTAGCATTTGGCTCTGGCACCGGGCCCCTCGTCGATATTAAAGTCGGGCCGCGGCCCCGCGATCAGGTGCCCGGCGTCCTGACGATTTCATCAACAGGCACGTCCGCGCCGGGATCATCATACTTTGTAACCGCGCGGCAAAAAGCAACTGCCCGCGTCCAGGACACGCCAGGAAATATATGCCCGTAATACGGCGTGGATTCAGCGCGACCGCGCGCGCAACGGGTGACGTATGATGATAGTGTGGCCCAGGAGAATCAAGATGGCCGTAATAATATCATTATCCCAGTGGTCTCCATCGGCCGTTCGGGGCCCCGAGTGAGACATTTACCGTAACGACCGGCCATCCGTTATCGAGCCCCGGCGTGCCTAAGCTTATATACGTATAGCGGACCGGGGATACCGACAAAACGCACGACTCGAGGTAGATATCCCTGGCGCACGGACACCAGTCTGCGGATGCATTCTACGATGCGCTCCGGTGAGATATTTGGTCTCTGATTACCCCATCGTATAACGTTTATCTTCGCGATTTTTTAATTAACACGCGATCTGTGTCCGTTATTATTACAATTTTATAATTCATTGTTACATTCGTTGCATCGTAAACTTATCCGCGAATTCGCTGGCAATATCAGAAAAGAGACAAATATTTTCTGTTAATCGTTAATGATACTTCGCAATGGCAGCTTATGATTGCGCCCGGCCAGATACCGGGCAATCGCTTTAACTTAGCAACAAGCCGAGCATCCAACATCAAGTCCGCTTAACCACGCTCCATACGTTTTCACGTGCACTCCGCCGTCAGTTTTTCTGAAGACCCATAAAGCCTCTATCACCATCATCATTATCGCCATTACTGCGCATCCACTGGCTCGCTCGCATTCGAGAGCCACGCTCCGGCGAGTTCCTTTACCCTAAAGAGAAACGTGGTTACCGCGGCCGATAGCCAGCCCCGGCAGGAGCATCAACGAGCGGCATTTGTTTTACGAATTTCACGGTGCGTGCTGCATTCGTCTCGACGACAACGATCATCCCGTCGTCTCCGCGTCTCGGGCTTCGTCGAACGTGAACTTGGCATGGCCGCGGCCGGTGCACAGCTTCATTAAGAGTTTCCAAGTTGGTGGTGCTGATGATGTATATCGGCGATATCTCAGGGAAGGTCGGGGGTAAGGGGGAAGGGGGAAAAAAGAACACATGGAGAGCGAAAGAGAGAAAGACAGAGAGAGAGAGAGAGAGAGAGAGAGAGAGAGAGAGAAAGCAAAAAGATCGGTAATGACGTCAGCGCGTTAGGGCAGCTGCCTCGGTTATTAATTAAGAGTACGGACGGACGAGGCGGCGAAGGCGATCGCGGGACCTGAATTCGCCCAGGGGACCGCGGGAAATTAATCGCGCGCGATGGATTTCGAAGTT